GAGAATTTTATCCGATGTAATCAAAAGTTTCTGTTTGTTGTGAGTGCTCTTCATATATCTGAATTTGAATATCTGACACTTCAACATAAGAATCTGGAGCTTACTTCTTTGGACCTTTCAGTCTCTGGACCAACTAGGTGTGATGGTGGAGTTAAACTGAATGTTATTGCTTGGAAAAATTGCATGACTATTCGAAGAACTTATGCAGTGTAACTATAACAGCATCCGATGAGGATGAACCTGATGGCCGATATAAGGTTTAGGAAAGCCCAAATGAAACTGATGCTGTCTGTTCTTTAGCAACTATGCCTGATTCTGCCGATGCTCATTTTCTGTTGCTTACATCCTTTTATCTCCTCCAACGCAACACATTAGACTTGTTAGCTTTTCATCAGAACATGCCTGAATTCTTTTATTTTTTGCTTTGCTGGTACTTTTTGCAATGCATGTAGAGTCACAATCTACATCAGGCATATCTTTATAATTTTAGCATGTTCTTGAGGAAATCTTGTCAACCACCTAGAATAATTCGGTCTGTGTTCAGTATTTGTCTAGTTAGCATCACCTCCTTTCCACCCATAAAATAACAGTGAAAAAGAGGATAATTGATTGTCTCTGGTGATTTATTTGTTAAGATGCAAAGTGATTTTATTGTGCTTTGCGCTACCTTCTGTTTTAAGGAGTCTAATCTGAAGGTACAATTGCAATTTTATTGCAGGGTCTATGATCAAATGCCTGAGCCAAGGTGGGTTATTTCGATGGGAAGCTGTGCAAATGGTGGAGGATACTACCATTACTCATACTCCGTTGTGCGAGGCTGTGACAGGATCGTGCCAGTTGACATTTATGTTCCAGGATGCCCACCTACTGCCGAGGCCCTCCTTTATGGAATTCTCCAACTGCAGAAGAAGATCAATAGGCGCAAGGATTTCCTGATGTGGTGGACCAAATAAGAGCAGTTATATTTCCGTTTTCTTGGCTATTCTCCTGTGGAAATAAACACTTGGCCAAGAGCCATGCGAGGGGAGAGATCTTCTGACTGTCATTTTATCATATCTTGAACCTTTTGTATTTGTTTTGTCTGCTGACATTTAGTGTGGTATTGTGCAAACTGTCCCCGATTTGTTTGGGAACCAGCTTAAATGAAAGTGCGAAGTTGTTATTTCATAGAGAATGTGCGTGCTGTGTTGGATTATATCAAAGCTAAGACATTGGACTACACCAACCGTACTTTCCCCCACGCACATTCTTCCCGCAGCTAGTAACTGGCTACATGCATTTATATGTCTATAGGTAGATTAGAGAGTGGAGTTTCTATGTTCGAATTCCAACAACAGCAATCAGCATTATGACATGTAATGCGAGTATATTTTGTTTCAGCTCTGATAGTTGCACTTAACGGAGGTCTGAATCTGAATGGTCAGATCTCAACCCATTAACTGCATTTGTTCTTTTAGTTTTAAAATATCTTAATGGGTCTTAATCGGACAGACCTGTGACCAAGTCTTAACACCATCCGGACCCAAAAAAAATGCGTCCGTTTTCCCCCCCGGTCAAAGTTTAACTTCGTTTTTCACTTTATCTTTCTGCAAAATAACCAATCTCTCTTCTTCTTCTGCAACGCTTTGTCAAAATATTTCTCCCAACTACTCTTGATTGTAATGTAAACAATAGTGCAATTCTACTATCCCTCCCCAGTAATTCTTTTCTTTAGCTTGAACACTTTCCAATTCATCCATTAAAATATGCAATCGTATCCACCCAAAAACGTGGATACCAGCGGAATTGATGCATTAATTATGATTGAAGACAACCAACGACCAAGGATTGTAGAACCTCCGTAAAAAAATTTGTTGGTTTCTTATCGAGTTCCTGAGACTTTATTTTACATAGCAATATACTTTTCTGACGAGAGCAAAAGATTCATATTTTTTTCTTATAAAACGAGGAAACCCTGATATGCAAGATAGGAGATTTTTGGAATTACGACATTGAAAGTTTGAGAAGATTTGAAACGAGATGAAAACGATGAAGCAGCTTTGGGGAGAAGTTATTTTTTTGTTTTTTTCTATTAATATTTTTTAAAATATTTTATTGGTATATATTTAATTAATGTATTATATTTCAATTGCATATTTATTATTCAGAAATATATATCAATTATACACTTTCATATCTTAAAAAAACAGATTGTCTTAACGATTCAGTATTCAGATCTAGAGATAATATCTTATTATTCACATATGTATTCAGATTCATATATACATCTTAATCTTAATAAAAACAAATGATGTGTTTATGGGTTGTAGCTGATTGTCTGGCAAGTCGAAACAAAGCTATTGTTATTAAAAATTAAAAAAGAAAGGAAAAAAAGTTGAAATCTCTTTTGTGCAGTAGGCTAGTTTGATCTTTTCACCATTAATCAGAGGTCAGTCCGAACTTTGAAAATAAATTTTTTTGGTAGAAAATATCATTGTATACGGGTAAAATCGAGCTCATGGTATATCCCGGCCTCCGACAAAATAAGTCAGGCTCGAGACATGGCGGCAAAGGACCGAAATCGAGCCAAAGTCCCGGAATCGATCCTAGTCTCGAACGACTTCGAAGAACATTGTCAGACAATCCAGCATAGCCAACAGAAAGCAGAAATATCCGTGACCGGCCGAATATCACGGCGGGAATCTCGGCACGTATCGATAACGAACCGACAATCAGTGAATTAGAATATTTTTTCACCTTTTATATAGTTGTACCTAAAGTAGGACTCTCCTACTATATAAAAGGGGGTCTTATAATTCATGAAAGACATTGTAACACACACTCAAAGCAATATATTATTATTTTATATGTCTTTAGCTCTTGTTCTTTTTCATCTGTACCGGTCGCGGTGAGCCCGGCTCGAGAGTGGCTACTTCACTAAGGCTAAAACTATCCAACTCGTGTGGTTTGAATTTATTTTATCTTTATTTATTCAATAGTAACATAATCTATCGCTTTGTATCAAGTTAATTCGCATATCCTTAAAATTACTTACAAATTTAATTGTTATCCCATTACGAGGGTAAATAATCATATTCCTATAGTGGTGCATATTTGGTCGGATATCGGATGATTAAACAAAAAAAAAGGCTTTAATAGGTGGATTACTCGATGCAATATCATTAAAAAGGAAGCTGATCATCAAAAGATTAAAAGATAGAATACCTAGAAAACTTTCTAAATGATCTGGTTATTTCCAGCTTAACCATAAGCTTTAATACAAGCTGGTATGTGATTTTATCTGTTTTATTACAAGCCTGCATAATATTCTAGTGAAAATCATTCACATCCCCTAATTTTGCTTTAAAAATCAAATTTCCTCCTCAACTTTGAACAATTATCATTCTCCCTCCTTTATCCTATACAATATCTATTTTGCCCTTGTCATTTTTAATTCCCTCCTCTATGTAATTCTTTTGTTATATGCTATTTTTTATGATTTGAATTGTATTATATCTTATTATAAATTATACTTTAAATTTATTAAAATTATAAATAGAATAGTCTTTTTATAAGTTTGTCACAAAAATATACCATATTTTATGACTTTTATTTAATATAACGCGCATTAAGTATATATTTAGGTTACATTTTTTCAGTGATAAATAGATAATCTTTAATGAGTTTATTATAAAGTTTACCTTTACTTTTAATAATTATAAACTTTTATATTACACACATTAAGTATATGTTTATAAGGTTTAAACCATCTTTTATTCTCGATTGTGTAAATAGATTTTTAAAATTTAATTGCCATTAATAAAGTTACTGATATGAGCAAATTATTTTATTTTAATTTTTATTTTGTGCATCTTTTTATTATTTAACGTTATTACAATTATATGCTTGATTACCATTCTTATTTTATTTTTCATTTTGAACATGAGATTTTATTATTATATAGGTAAGTTCATAACATAAATATTATAAAAGAAAAAAATATCATGACACTAAAAGGGTAAAAAATAAAAATAAAAAATAGAAAGAGATAAATGTTGATAATATAGAGGGTAAAATAGGTATTTTAAAATGTCAATTGAGAAATGAGCGGGAGAATGACAATTGTTCAAAGTATAGGAGGGAGTTTGATTTTTAGAGCAAATTTCAGGGGTGTAAATGATTTTCACCCATAATATTCTTACACTTTATTATAGCTTTCTTTTTATTTTAGCTATTAATCATTTGACAAGAGTGAGTTGTTTTAGTGGTGAGCACCCTCCACTTCCAACCAATAGGTTGTGAGTTCGAGTCACCCCAAGAGCAAGGTGGAGAGTTCTTGGAAGGATGGAGTCGAGGGTCTATCGGAAACAACCTCTTTACCCCAGGGTAGAGGTAAGGTCTGCGTACACACTACCCTCCCCAGACCCCACTAATGGGATTATACTGGGTTGTTGTNATTGTAACACATACTCAAAAGCAATATATTATTATTTTATCTGTCTTTGGCTTTTGTTCTTTTTCATCTGTACCAGCCGCGGTGAGCCCAGCTCGAGAGTGGCTACTTCACTATGGCTGAAACTATCCAACTCGTGTGGTTTGAATTTATTTTATCTTTGTTTATTCAATAGTAACCTAATCTATCGCTTTGTATCAAGTTAATCCGCGTATTCTTAAAACCACTTGCAAATTTAATTGTTATCCCGTTACAGAGGGTAAACAATCATATTCCTATAGTGGTGCATATTTGGCCGGATATCGGGTGATTAAACAAAAAAAAAGGCTTTAATAGGTGGATTACTCAATGCAATATCATTAAAAATGAAGCTGGTCATCAAAAGATTAAAAGATAGAATACCTAGAAAAATTTTCTAAACGATCTGGTTATTTCCAGCTTAACCATAAGCTTTAATACAAGGTGGTATGTGATTTTATCTGTTTTACTACAAGCCTGCATAATATTCGAGTGAAAATCATTCACACCCTCTAATTTTGCTTTAAAAATCAAATTTCCTCCTCAACTTTGAACAATTATCATTCTCCCTCCTTTATCCTATACAATATCTATTTTGCCCTTGTCATTTTTAATTCCTTCCTCTACGTAATTCTTTTGTTATATGCTACTTTTTTTATGATTTTACATATGATTTGAATTGTATTATATCTTATTATAAATTATACTTTAAATTTATTAAAATTATAAATGGAATAGTCTTTTTATAAGTTTATCACAAAAATATACCATATTTTATGACTTTTATTTAATATAACGCGCATTAAGTATATATTTAGGTTACATTTTTTCAGTGGTAAATAGATAATCTTTAATGAGTTTATTATAAAGTTTACCTTTACTTTTAATAATTATAAACTTTTATATTACACACATTGAGTATATGTTTATAAGGTTCTAACCCATCTTTTATTATCGATTGTGTAAATAGATTTTTGAAATTTAATTGCCATTAATAAAATTACTGATATGAGCAAATTATTTAATTTTAATTTTTATTTTGCGCATCTTTTTATTATTTAACGTTATTACAATTATATGCTTGATTACCATTTTTTATTTTATTTTTCATTTTGAACATGAGATTTTATTATTATATAGGTAAGTTCATAGCATAAATATTATAAAATAAAAAAATATCATGACACTAAAAGGGTAAAAAGTAAAAATAAAAAATAGAAAGAGATAAATGTTGATAATATAGAGGGTAAAATAGGTATTTTCTAATGTCAATTTAGAAATGAGGGGGAGAATGACAATTGTTCAAAGTAGAGGAGGGAGTTTGATTTTTAGAGCAAACTTCGGGGGTGTAAATGATTTTCATCCGTAATATTCTTACATCTTATTATATCTTTCTTTTTATTTCAGCTATTAATGTGATTTTTTTTTGGCACACTCAACAAAAATTTTAATTACTATATTATTAACTTTGTTAGAGTTTGTGACTATATATATATNATTAACTTGTGAATGAACGAAAAAGTAACTGTTTCAAGTAATGCATCATTCATCGAGAATTCAAAGTGCTATTATACCCAATAGGTTGCCAAAAGAAAATATCTTAAAGGCATCCCTATCTAAAAATAACTCGAGGTCAGCTATAAAATGCTCTTTTTGACCCCAAATTTGTCCCTGTTCTCTTTAATCCCTCTCTCAATCTCTCATTGTAGGGTTTCCCAATT